CTCCCTCGCTCTCCCGAAACGCCTTCCCACCTGTGTGAGCTTCTCCAGCTCGATCTCTGCAGGAGTCGTTTCCTCCCCATCGAGGAGATCGGCATACCTGCAAGGCAGTCACACAAGACAAGAAGTCCCTTGCTCACTTGCTCAAGATGTCCCAGTCATCGTCGTCATCCTCATCGAACCCGTCGCTGCTCGCAGCCCATCATGCAAACATCGCGCGGATCGGCTCGCAACCTGTTGGCGGTTCCCTGGATGCTTTTGATCTGGAAGTAGGGAGACTCCTGCTCCCCCCGCGAGATGACTCGGAGCGTCACGGTCGACCCGAACGACTCGCAGCAATCCTTGCAGACTTCCAGGTGCCCAACCAGCTTGTTCACTGCGAGCGGGTTCGAGATCACCTGCACTGCCCGTCACGCCTTCTTCCCTCCTCCATGAGCGCGCCAGCTCGCTCTCCCACGACGACATGGCTACCTTGCAGGCCGGGAACGACAGGACGACTTCGTCGGTCTTCTTGTCCATGACGCGCGCGATCGCCTCCCAGATGTTGGCAAGAACATCTGCAAGATTTGTTGCGCCGGTCTCCTCCACCTTGCTTCATCCCCACGTGAGCCCACACTTGTTCGCTTCACCTTACCCTACCTGCCAGCGACCCCTTGGCCCGAAGCGTAACACCTCCCGAGGAACGGACGAGGACGATGAAGAGAGCGGGGCGAAGACAGAAGTCTTGAAGAATGACCACTAACAAGTCTGCTACGCCTTGCTGAACTCAAACCGAAACCTGGAGCTCTTCAGGTGTGCAAGGGCAGTTGTTCAAGTGATGGGTGGACCTGAGGGAGCGGGCTGGAACGCCGAACATCCTACGACGACGAGCAAGAAAAGAGCAACTGGAGCTGATGAAAGAAACTCAGGAACATACACAGCTTGTTGTCAGTCTCGATTCATTCGTCTTTGTTGGCTGATATGCCATTGCTACTGTTTCATTTCCGGCAGTTGCCCTCTCCCTCTCATTGGAAATCGCTTCCTCTGCAACTCTTCACTCTCTTCCTCCCTGGTTCGTTCACTATCTGTTCGCTCTCCTCCTAGCTGTCTCTTCCTTCCACGCTGCTTCTCTTCCTCTCCCTCCCTCCATTCTTCGCCCTTACCTCTAAGCCGACGCATTGTGGAGGCCGATTGACCCTCATCCCACCTCAGCCCAATGGCCCGGCACTGAGCAGCCAGCTGAGCAGCCTGCTGAGCAGCACGGCAGACTGAGCAGGGCCCCTGCCTGGGGCCAGGAGCAGGGCGCTGAGAGTCAGTGGACTGAGCCGGGCTCACTTAGTGCTGGGTACGGTCACTGGTCACAGTCAGTGCGGCAGGTGATCACAGGCTCACGGGGTCAGGACCGATCATACAATTCTTCTCATATCACTATCCTACCTCTTCTCAAAATCCCCACGAGCATCTTTGTCCCCTGCAACTAAACCTCTTGGTTGCAAACTAGCACGTCTTCAGACGCTCCTGGCTCACGATGCTATGATAACTGCAGCTCCTTTCGCCAACCGTTGAACCTACAACCTTCGCTTCACTTGGTTCATCGTGACTCGATAGGGGATGGGTCTATCTTTCTCTTCGTTCTTCTAGCATGTGGCTTGATTGAGTCACAACAGCCAGAGTCAAGCCGCTTCGACGCTCAGATACCCCTCGTGACAGGAACAAATACTCCGAAGATGTCAGACTTGACGTTCAGGGCCAATCAAGGCTCAGAAAGACGTCTGACATTGGAGTTCAACAACGAGTTGCAAGTTGTTTCATGTGACGGTCGTCATGATTATCAGAAAATTCATTATTCATGAACAATGAACACAGGACCAGCCATACTCTTTGTGTACTATCACGGTACAATTTTGTAAAATCATCATTCTGAAATTTGTTGCCTCGGACATCAATGCTACGATTCCCGATCATCGAACCGAATCTTCGTTCACGGTTGGCAGGGCAAATGCTTGAACCTCTCCTCGAAGCTGCCAACTACACCTGGTCGTTCCCATCGATACACGGACATAAAAAATTCATTCGATACAGAGCCGTGTCGCGCAAATCAATGCCGTGCCCTTGAGACGAGCCTGCAGTGTGTCTGGCCTCCCTCCTCCACTTTGAAGGATGTGACTCTGCTGCCTTGCGTTCAAAATGTTCCTCAAGCATTGAGAGCCGTCCGACTCTACCTTGAGCAACTTTCTTGTTGCTGCTGTTGATCCCCTCATGGCAACGTGCTGCAATTTCATTGAGAAGCCCTTTTGCATTTGCTGACAATGCTCAACCATGATGATGGAGAAGGCCAGGAGATTGCGAGGAGGCAGGAGGGAGGTAGAGGAGGGGTCGTAGAGCAGGGGGGATCCGCTGCCTGCGAAGCGAAGGGACTCAGAGGAAGGAGGTGAACTTGAGCAATGCGATCCTTTGGATTCGAAAAGACTGATTTTCAACCTGTGAAGACTGAAAAGAGAGGTTTTCAGGTGGAGTGAATCAGCGGCGACACGTTGCACATAATTCGGTGCAGTGAGATACCGAGGAACGGAGTTGAGATCGTTCGCGCTAGGGACCTCAAGAGGTCCTGGGGTACCAAACACTTAAGGCTAGTTGGATGTCCTGGTACGAAATCGGCCTGGCGGCTCGGACCGGAATTTCCGATCGAACACACTACTGCAGTTTATGTACATACAGACCAAGGTGTAGACCGATCCGAGGTGTGAGCCCGCGGGCCGGTACCGGCAGCGACCCGGCCGCCCGGCGGTCACCGGGCACTGAGATCCTGATCGGACTCTCTTTACTCAAGACTTGACAGGTTAGGGCCGCAACCAACTTCGCCATCGCCAGTCACAGTCAAGGGTCTGAGATTCTTTAAGTCTCGTTCTAAGTCCAGAGAGGCCAGGCAGCTGCAAGGCAGCGTGTCCGCGCCCTGTGCCTTGCCCGGAAGGACAGGGGCTGGTTGGACGTTTGGGGGTTCGAGGGCGCCGATGCGGCAACAGGGGTTGAGGCATGGTGGGACGGGAGTCTCGCTTGCGGAGGAGGAGAGTCTCGTCGCAGCCACAACCGTGGAAGGATCTCTCGTGATCTGGAACCTGGAAGACGACTCCTCCTCAATCGCGTTCCAGTCCAACAAGAGGTTGTCCTGCTGCTGTTTTGGCGACGGGGCGGCAACGATCCTGCTCGGTGACTGGGGGCGGGCAGCCAGGCTGGTGGACATTCAAACTGGGAGGGAGAGGGCGGAGATGCTAGGACATGAGGGTAAAGTTACAGGATGCAAACTCCGCACAGAGATGCATACGGCTTTGACGTCCAGTGAAGATTTCACTCTGAAGGTGTGGGATATCCGGAGGGGGATTTACAAGTCGTTCGAAGCTCAAGACGAAGTTCTGGACTGCTGCTTCATCCCCAACGGCACGAGACTTCTCGGAGTGTGCAAGGACGGGAAGATCGTCGTGTGGGATGCAAGGCGGGAAGACAGGCTGCTCCTGTCTATCGATGCGCATGATGGGTGGGCTACTTGCTGTGACGTCACCGAAGACGGGTTGTATGGTTTGACGGGGGGGTAAGGAGACGCTCTGATCTCAACTCAACTTCTCTTCCATGACGTCTGCATCCTAGGTCGGACAAACTGGCCAAAGTCTGGGACCTGAGGGGGGGAAAGTTGATTCAGGCCTTGTCGGGTCATAAGGTGAGGGACAAGGTTTTAGGAGCTCGGCTCTGACCGAGAGCTTCAGGAGAGTGTCAACTGTTGTGGCTTCCTGGGCGAGTTTGCGGTCACTGGGTGCGGAAACAGGTTCTGGGAGTCGAGGGACAACACGGTTATCCAATGGGACATAAACTCCGGGAGACACGTGAAGTTCCACAGGGGAGCCACCGATGCCGTGATGAGCCTTGCATGCTCCAGGTGAGCTGAAGTGCTGTGGTGATTGCGAGAGGTGAAGGGCGTTTCAGGGAGAAGCAGATGATTGTGGCAGCTTGCATGGACAAACATGTGAGGTTGTGGGATTCATCGAGAAACATCAGGAAGAAGAGAGACAAGTCTGAAGCTGAAGGCAGCGTCGAATCGAAACCTGCAGCCTGCCCTCTTGGCTGTGGCCTGCACATCGAGAATCTGAATCTGGACCAGCACTTGGAGCGATGTCCGAATCGATTAGTGCAATGCAACGTGTGCAACACCAAGATGACGGCACAGGAGCTCGAGATGCACCAGAAGGCGGGATGTGAAGAGCAATCATACGTTTGTGAATTATGTAATGAGCTCGTGAAGAGCCGGGAAGAACAGCATCATAACTTGGAAGTTTGCAGTCAGCGAGAAGTTGCATGCCCAAGATCGTGTGGAGTGAATGTGAAGCACGCAAACCTTGACAAGCATCTGCAGACCTTCTGTCAAGAGCGACTGGTGTCGTGTAAGCTTGGCTGCGGGCTCTCGATACCCGCAAAAGAGATCTTAGTGCACCAGCAGAAGATTTGCAGCAATCGAGAGGTTCATTGCCTTCAGTGCACCTCTGAGCTGATGGCAAAGGATCTACAAACACACCTGCAGCGATATTGCAGCCATCGGTTCGTTCTGTGCAGGTTGGGATGTGGGAAGAAGTTCAAGTCACTGGAGACTGAAAGTCACGAGAGGTACGAATGCGAGATGAACAACAGAAGGATCAACAAACAAGCGAGCGAGCCAGCAGTCGTTCACTCGGGAGAAAAGCATTACCCGGCAGCCAGGCTTTACGTGAAGGATGTCTTTCAAGTGTCATTCCAAGGGGGAGTCTCCTTCTCCTCGTCGCTTCCCAATATAGATGTCCCTTCGTCCCCTTCTCCCAAGATGACGTTTGAAGAATCGGGAGAGGAAATCTTGAAATGTACAGTATGCTCATTCAGGACACGAGTTTGTGTATCATGCTCTTCATCGTTCTGTCCGCGTTGCAACTCACGGAGCGGTTCACCGAAGATCTCTCTTCTTTGCACGCAATGCTCTAAGGACAGGATCATGCGCATGAGGGATAAGAATTCGTCACCAGGGCGGAGAGGCATGCGTTTCAGTGTAAGATAGCACGAGATAATTCATCACATATGTAAATAATTGATTTCACGCTGGCAGCAGCCTTTAGCTCATGACAGCATGAAAATCGTCGCTCACACTTGTTCAAGATCGTCAGGGTCGGCGTTTCAACCTCAACCGCCATGATCTTTCTAGTTGATTTTAGCCGAGTTGTTCTCTTTCTCCAGATACTTCATCACACCCGGTCGCTTGCCGACGTCTCCAATCAGCGCCTGACACAGGAGCACAACCATGACAAGCTGCTCATATCACACAAGAGTTTCAAGCTCACCGGCCTGTATTCTCTCGCCCACCGGTTTGCGTCCTCGATCGACATGTGCTGGTGCTTTGCCAGGTAGGGCACGAGCACCATCGCGCATCTCCCTATGCCGCTCTTGCAGTGGACATAGACGGATTCTCCAGTCTTTGAAGGGCGTCAAATTGAGAGAGGATGCAGGCACGAGGACAGACCTGAATCTTCCGATGAATGAAAGCGACTCCCTTGGCAATCACCTCCGGGGTCACGTTGCAGTAGTCTGTGGTGGGTAGCCAGCACTGGTCTATCCCCAGGTCTGCATACAACGACTCGTGACCTGGAAATTCTTCGCACATGTTGACGATCGCAGTCACTCCTATACGCACGTCACTCTGATCCCCCCAAACTCCCTCCCTCACCTTTAGAATGCATGTCGCGGATTTGCCATGGCAGCGGCATGCCTCCGATCCACAGCAGAGGCCTATCCTTGGTCGCGCTCGGCAGCGGTACGTAGTCGTAGTATCGCCTCTTGGTGAAGCACGACACTGTCATCCAGATGGTGATTGTTGGCCATGTCTGAAGTGCAGAAAGGAGCTGTATCGTAGTTCTCCAGGGCTCGTGGAGGGAGTGATGGAAACCATTCCATCCAGATTTATGTTTCAAAGATTTCTGCGTCAGGCCATCAGGGCACGGAGTGAAAACGAGCAAGGCAGGCAGAGAAGGAGCGTGCAAGTGGATGGGAAGTGAGGTAGTGGAGGAAGGTGGTGCGAGGTAGGAAACGAGGGCGAAAACGCGACCAATGGAAGTAACGAGACTGAGGCAGGGTCTTGGGGAAGAGAGAGCGGAGAGAAAGGAGAAGAGAGAGAAAAAGAGAGTAATTACTTGCAAACGGATGCAGAAGAAGATGGAAAGTGTCAGTACGCAGAAAGGTGCCTGACATTTACTTCAGTCACGACTTGAAAGAAGGAATGTGCATACCTGGAATCTGAGCCATGTCAAGGTTGAGAACGGCAGGTATAAGAACCCGAGGAATGAAGACAACACAGCTACAGCTCCTAGAGTCTCAGCGAGCTTGAAGATCCCCGCTGCAGTTTGAAGTGAGAAGTTCTCGGTCAGAATATGGTCATGCAACGTGGCACTACCAACAGACTGCTTCTCCCCTGCCTCCTCTCAGCATGCATCTACTCGGCCGTAACGATCTCCAATGATTTGTTATGACTATCTTTTAACTAGCGCTAGACTTTCCTCCTTTCAATCCCACACACACCCTGTTCTAAATTCATTTCTGCTAACATCACTTCGTAGACATCGTTATCACGCGTTATCGTCTTTCATCTTCCCCCCTCTCCTCGTCCTGCACTTCTCTCCTTCTCCTAGATGCATCTGAACTCTCTCTCCTCCCCTTCCTCTCCTTACTCAGCATGGTCTTGTTCACGCTGCCCAGTCCGCCGCCATGTTGTAGGTAGTCGCTTCCGTGGGAACAATGCAGGGGGTAGGGGTCGACGATCCTTGCAGGGTGATCCCAGGGTACTTGTGGCGAAATGTGGGGGTTGGGGGTGGGGAGGGTAGGAGGTACATTGTACAGCAGTGTGTAAATAGTCCCCCCGGGCCCGCCGGGGCCCGGGGGGACCGGCGGGCCGCGCCGGGCCGGGCCAAGTTTCACTGAACTTCGTCGAGTCCCGAAACTCCGAGCCGGGGCGAGTCAAGCTCAATTTATTACTCAACATCCGATAGTAGTACTGGAGATTATTACTCAACATCAGCCGATCTCAGTTTGAAATCTTTTTTCGTCGAGCCTATCAAGGGGGAGGTGGGGTGGGATGATCACCGTACCCCTACTATTGTAGGGAAAAGTAGGGGTACTGGTACTACACCCAGAGCCGCAATGCTCAGGAGTGTTATAGAGACATGAGGGATAGGTTGAACTGGAGCAGCGGATAGAAGCAGGAGGAGGAGGAGGAGGAGGAGGAGGAGGTGGTGGTGGTGGTGGTGGCTGGATCTGAGAACCAGGAGAAGAGGAGGCGGTGTGAGGCGATAGAAGGACGGCAAGATGGAAGGAGGACACACATAGATAGGCGAAAGGGTGGCTCAGTCCCTGTGGCGGTATTATGAGGATCGAGGATGTTTGACATCCTAAAGGAGAGAAGATTGCCTGGGGAGAAGACTTGCAAAGATAGTCTTCGAAGAATAGAACTAATTGAAACAAGTCTTAAACAATAGGACGAATGACTCCATTCCTCTATGGAGCGATTCCCATCTGCTATGTTGATGTTGAGAGTGACTTTTCAATGGCAGTGTTGTCAACAGGTTGGAGAAGCACATTTTTGTTTCATGGATGAGGTGTTGGGCTGCAACGTAAACCTGCAGCGCTGCCAGGCATGCGTGCGCTATCAGACAGCGGGCAGGGAGAGGATGTGCGAGTTGAAGCACATCAAGAGTACATCTCAAGGTCCATAGGCAGTCACACCAGCCCTGACGCGGGTATCACCGACATCAGGAGGACACAAGTTTCAGATCCTGAGGAGGGTGAAGAAACGTCCTGCAGGTGTTGCCTATTCAACCGCAGAAAGCGTCAACTTGCTCAGCCACATGAGGGTTCAGATCGACACGAAGAGAACAAGGTGGTGAGCATCTCACCGCGTCTGCCTCTTGGCCTGACTAGATGCCTTGTCAAGTCCGATCATGCGGTGGCATCGAGGGCGTCGCTTCGTCCCGTCGATTCGTCAAGCGTAGCAGGGCCCATACTGGCCAGCAGTCAACAGGAGGTGAGGAACGAATGCAGCAACAACATTTGAACATCTCAGCGATCGCAGGTGGAGGATGGTGGAGCGCCGTACGACAACCATGCTTCGGGCCCGGATCTTCGATTGCCGCCTTACACTGACTGGCAGCCAGTGCAAGATACAAGTGAGCTGTTTTTCTCCTCTCATCGTACATGCTGGTCAAGCTCCCGCTCAGTTTCGACCTCCCACCATCCGATGTATGCCTCCGGGGGGCCGGAGCCGCAGAAGTTGGAGGTTTGCGATGACCATGATGCCGCTGGAAGATTTGACAAACTCTACGCCGACAGATTGTCGACATTCTGAAGCAGGCAACCAACGGACACATGCATGGCTTCCAGGAGAACGGTCTCCTCTCCTCCTGCTGAAGCCCGCTCACCACGTGGGCATCTGCAGGCCACTCAGAAGCTATGGACCTCAGCGACTCATTCTCGGTCTCGGGCACCTCCCGGTCCTCGCATGCATCCCCTTTGTCTTACAGGTACAATACGAGCCCAAGATCACGGAGGGCGGACCTCAGCTCTGCCAGCAAGGTCTCGATAGAGGTGTCGACAGACGATAGGAGGCGCTAGGGCTGATCTCGTATTCAGGGAGCACTCGTTCATCTTTCGCCTATGAGCACTCCTCGCTCCTTTGTGTCCTTCGACGATCCCCGCGACTTCGGGTCCTGCGTCCTGACGAGGAGGATGCAGCATCCAGCTCCCCTGCCTCCCCCTCCTGCTTCGAGCTTGCAGAGCGTCGGGGTGCCAAAGCTTGCTCTGGAAAGAATCGCCTCTCCATCAGAAGTCAAGAATGATGTGCGAACACCAAGAAGCTTGTCCGATCGATACGGAAGAAGGTGAAATTGCTTTCCCCTCCCTCCTTTGCAGCTTTTCCTCTCTCTCTCCCCCTCCCCCCCCTCCCCCCCCTCTCTCTCCCTCTCTCCCTCTCTCCCTACGATTTAATCCTGTGCCCTCACCCTTTCCTTCGTCGCTCTAGCCCCCATGTACCTCCTTCCTGTTATTCTCTGGTTCTATGCTCGGTCAATGAATGATCGTCCTTTGCTTGCAGCCGGGGAGGCGCCCTCGTCGCAGCATCTCCGCGCAAGTTTGCGATGGGAACGAGTCCCATTCAGTCCCCGCGGCTCAGCATCACAATGCAACGGATCACAACGCCTCGACAAGATGCCCACACCAAGGTGATGAGGAGCAAAGTGTTCGATGCTGCTGCTGATATAGTTGTTGTGGATGACGATGACGATGATCATGTTGGCTGCTGCTGCTGCTTATGATGATGATGATGATGATGATAATGTCTGTCGTTGTTGTTGCGGTTGACAAGGAGGAGGGAGAGAGAGAAGAGGAAGAGCGGGAGGCGGAGAAGAATCGACATTGACATATGAGCACGTGATCAGATCGTTCGACCCGCGTACGTCAGTGCCACCTCCATCATGCCAGCGGTCGATTCCGAAGGCATAGAGGCAGCAAAGAAGGTCTCTGCATGCCTGCCTCCCCTGTTCCCCTCCTACCTGCTCCGTCCCTCCCTTCCTCCTGTCTTCCTGTCCCCTCCATCTCTCTCTCTCCCTGCTTCTCCCCCGCGGCTCATGTCTTGGTGGAGGGACAGGCGTCTGCAAGCCACCAGGGCAGCAGCCAGGGGAATCCGAGGCTCATGGACAACTTCGCGTTCCCCGAGGACTCGATCTTCGGACAGACCCTTGAGAAGCTCTTCTCCTTCCTGGGCAACGAGCAGGAGCAGGGGGGCGCACATCGAACATATATCAACATCTGAATCAGGTTAAAGGTCAAAGGTCCATGCTGCCAGGGCTAGAGCTCGCCGCTCCTCTCCCCCCCTCGCGCTTCATCTCCCCTAGGGTCGCTCTTCCTCATGAAGCGGCTGAGGAAGGAGAAAAGTCCAGCTTTCTGCCCTCCCGTCTGTCCATCTCCTCGCACTCTGGAGCTCTTGCCGGTTTTGAGAACCCCCTCGACATGCTGCAGGCGCAGGAGAGTGTCGTCGAGCCCAGCTCCTTCCCTGCTCCTCGCAGGCCAGATGACCTGCAGCCGCTCCCTAGCAGGCGATTCGTAAGCACAGGAGGGGAAGAGGACGAGGAGGAGGGAGGAAGGAGGAGGAGTCGGAGGTCACCTGAGGCGTTGGGCCTCAACGCCGAGCTGCTCTCCTCTTGCTCGTGGAATTTTCGAGAGATCGCAACGAGCATCCCCGAGTTCGATGCACTCAAGACCGACTTGACTCGAGAGCTGAGCAGCAGCTCAGGGCGAGCAGGGCGAGACGAGAGAGTGAGAGGAGAGAACTTACCGTGAGGAAGTTGACCGCCCACATGAGCTCTCTGATCGACAAGTGCATGTTCAAGGGCCCCTGCTCTGCTCCCTCCACGTCGTACTTCGCTAGCTCGCCGGTGAGCAGCGCCGAGGCCTCCTTGAGCATGCGAAGGGCCTGCTGCAGGCCGTGCCTTGTGATGTGCAGCCCGACGATGACATGGTTGACCACCGTGGTTCTGACGTTGGAGAGGATCAAGATGTCAAACAAGGCACTCCGGTTGGCCAGGGTCTGCGAGCCCACCACCTTGTAGAGGCTCCCAAGAAGCATCAGGACCTTCCCGATGACGCCCGAGCGGTCGTTGAGGACGAACCTGCTCACCTTCCCGACGAGATGCTCCGTCACGCCCTCGGCACTGAAGGAGCGCTCTAAGTTGATGTTCCAGCTGAACTCTGCTGCTGCTCCGTATCCTGGGACAGACACGGCGAGAGGCTGCATGTGCCCTCCGTCCCCCCAGTCCGTCACGAGAAGGCCCTCGGCAGAGTACATGGAGCCTGCTGTGGCCGCGTTGAGAACATTCAGAACCATGTTCTCCGTCCTCCCCCCGACGCTGCTCACACAAAGTCACGGGCGGGTCGAAGGAGGAGGAAGTAGGATCGGACCTTAGCCATGAGCTTGTGCCCGGGCAGACATAGAACTTCACCCCGTGCTGCTGGAACCGAGCGGCCCGGAATCGGAAGGGAGCCCTGGCCTCGTAGCTGGGGGTAGGAAGTGAGTCCATTGGTATCTCTAGAAGACTAGAGGGGCTGGCAGACTGAGGGAGGGGCTGGGAGGGGAGAGGGGAGGAGCAGGTCTTACCCCCAATCCATCACTATTGAGGTGTTGGGCAGTCTGCTTAAGGCCTGCCAGTGCTCGGCAATGATGTCCCCCCTGGTCAGGAGAACGTTCGAACACACCAAACTTCAAATGTCGCACAGCATCTCATACCAGAACATGGCGCTCTTGTTGTACTTCTTCAGCACACCAACGACCTCTTCGAGAAACTCCAGGTACACGTGGTGCTGCCCCTGCCGCGCTACCGCCTGCCTGCTCTTCCCCATGCCAAGGTCGTACGTCTCATCGAATCCAATGTTTATGTTCCTGCAGTGTTGTCCAGATCAGAATCGCAAGAATCCGAGAAATCTTAGGAAAGAAAGACACTCTAGGGAAGGAAAGACACTATTGAGAAAGACAGACAATCCTGAAAAAGAAGACACTCACTCAGAGTATGGAAAGGCTTTGAAGAGCTCCCCGTAAAGAGAGTCCAGGAACTGGACAGAGTTGGCGTCTGGCGCCAGACTGTACGGGAGCTTCTCACGGTCCGAGAAGAGCGAACAGCAGAACTCGAACGTCCAGAGGCTGAGGAGAGGACGTCAGACACTTCAACTCACCATGGCGTCAAAGGACTCAACATACCGGTCGGAGCCGGGCTCGTGCTCGGCCAGGTGCTTGTACTCATCGTGCTTCAACCAGTGTTGCATGTGCCCGAACGACTGGTTGCAGAATCACCGTCAGCAATGCATGCATCCCCCGAAGGGACGACAGGACCTGCTGGTTCGGAACCAACTTGATGTACCTCTCATGCGCGTACTCGGCAAGGAGAAGGACCTCGGAGCCGTTGAGAGCCCCTGTGTCCTTCCAGACCCGACTGTGGTTCTCGAAGGCAAACGTGTGCTCTGTGTACAACTGCAGCTGGTTGATCTTGACCCTAGCCAGCATGTCGATGATGCCCATGAAGGTCTCAAGCGTGTGGACGCGATTCCTGGATATGTCGAGCATGACGCCGCGATTGGCCAACAAAGGCCAGTCTGTGATTTCCAGTTGATCGATCGCGGTGCCTATCCAGCTCTTAGAGCTCCCATCCCATCCGGCGGACTCAAAGAGCTGCAGGAGGGTCTGGTACCCTCGGAACAAGCCTTCCTCGTAGTAGCTCGCTATCACTACCGTGTTGTTCCGGGCCGTCAGCTTGTACGACTCGTGAGAGAGGAGCAGTTTGGCAAGAGCTTTGGATTTTCGTTTGCGGACGTCCAAGATCTTCAGCTGGATAAGAAACTGTAGCGACATGTCAGGAGTCCATGTTTCCTACCAGGCAATCAAAGTGGGCGAACCTTATCCTCCTCATCCCGCGAGCAACCTGTCGCCAAAGGATGCTTGACGTCGTGACCACCAAAGAGCAGCTCGACGTCTCTAGGAGAAGCTCTCTTCACGTTCTTGTAGAAGCGAGAAGACGTGTCCTCCAAGCTCTCCGCCTCCTCCGGCCTAAAGATGCACACCGTCGAGCCCACCACCTGCAACCTCCATCAACAAGACTACACGGCAGCGGGCCAGCCAGCAGGTCACCTTGAGAGGAGGACCATCGAAGAGTTTGATGCTCTGTGGCTGGGGGAGGAGGGAGGGAACGCTCCTGACTGCCTCCTCCGACATGATACCGCACACTAGCATCAGCATCGCCGCCGCACGCATGCACGACGCCGCCACCAGTCCCTGCATTCCGGCAGACCTAAAACCTATGAGCCGCAACTCATCCCCCTCATTTCCCTTCATTCATAGAGTAACGGTTTGTAACCGTCAATATCAGTTGTTTCGAAATGGAGTTGGACGCGGCTGTGGCGGAGACGCAGAAAACGCTGGGCGCCATCATTCAGAAGGCATGCCGACAACATGCTTGTCATACTCATGCTCATAGTCTCCATCGGCTACTCCCCTCTCTTCCTGATCTCTGTTTCTCTCTCGACCATGCCCAGCCCCAACATCTCCCATGGTTGCATTCCCGCCACCCCTGCTTGCTCCTTCTCGACAAGAAAGGCATCACTCATACGTTGTGTTTCATGTTTATTGCATTCATTTTACCATTGAAATGATGTGCCATCATGCTCGTATTGAAGATCATACTTGCATCACACAACTTTTGCATTCCTTCATCCGTTTTTGAATTTCGCAAATTTGCAGCCTAAGCTCACAGAAAACTTGTTGAAGAAGCCTCCTTTTCGCTTCTTGCATGATATCGTTACTGAAGTTAAAAGAGTAAGATTCTTTCCTCGATTATTCATGCAGCAGAACTGATCTTTTGTGCGAAGGTCACCGGATTTCCTTCATCCGATGTACTGACAGATTTCGACCTTGACTCTGGGAACTTTAAGGACAAAGAGTCGAAGGTCTTTCTCATTGCCAGGAAATTGTCGTCAATCATTTCTTGAGGTCAGGTCGCTTGGCTCAACAAGGTCATCGGAGCCGTCTCTGATGCAGTGGGGCCCGTCACTGTCCGACCACTAAAGATCGTTGCTGGGCTGGAGCCGGAGAACACGAATGCCTTGCTACAGGTCGAACCTGTTGTGGTCGAGGAGGCTACTGAGGAGGATCAGTTCTTACTTGTGAGATTTCAGGCTCTCGCAGTGGCAGCGAGTGGTGGGGGTGGGAAGCCAGCGGCGGAAGAAAAGAAGGCTCCTCCTCCACAGGAAAAGCCTCCTCCCCCCAGCGAAGCTCCCAAGTGCGTATGAGATATGCTCCGTTGCACGTGTGCTGAACTGCTTGTTAGGCAAGAGAGGCCAAAGCAGAAGCCTGTAGAAGAACCTCCTGCTCCATCTGCGGACGAACACTCTGCTCCTGCTTCCGATGAACAGCAACAGAGAAAGCCGCGCTCGCGGAAAGCGCAGGAAGCCAGCGAGCCCGAGCTGGCAACATCCACACGCCCATCCAAAGCGAAGGAGGCTAAGGAACCCGAGCCTGCTCCAGCCGCAGCAGCACCTGCGAGCCAAGTGAGGATGCAGTTGCACCGATGGCACTGCCTGACTTTCAATCAGGACGAAGATCTCGGCTCGTCAAGAAGGCTCGAGCGTCCCAGGACCGCACTCCGTGCACCACCAAAGGTGAACTTCACGATTCATCGGAAGCGAGCGATCGAAAGCCTGACTTGCTGCGAAACTTCCGCCAGGTCCAGACCAATGTGACTGTCAAGGACACAAGACCGGACTCGAAACAACAGAACAGACAGGCGGCTAAAGTGATTGCTGAGGGAGACGCGAACGATGACGATGACGATGACGGCTTTCTTGGATCGGCGGGGGGGATGGCTCCTGCTAGCACAGCCTCGAATCAGTTGAGCGGGAAACATGCTGACGAGCATGGAATGCTTGTACGAAACATGCTGGCAGTCGAGGCGGATATTGCAGGAGATTCTGCTGTGAAGAGCGAGAGCGTCTCCATTGCAGAGCATGAGAAGCTGAATGACAAGAAACGCACACAGGCAAGGATAGGCAGCGCGCTCCCTCTTGCTTTGAGCTCACAGCTGTCTCCCAGGAGGAGATGAACAAGTTAAGGGAGGCGATCCAAGCCCTCTGTCAGAGTACGAATCCCCTTGCACGTTCCATGGATTATCTACAGGAGGTAGAAGCTGTCGTGTGATTACTTCGCAACTCACAGGCTGATGTGTCAGGACCTGGACAACATGACCAAGGAAATGGAATTCTGGATGAAGGACAAAGAAAAGCAGACCATCCTGCTGGATGAAGAGGAGAAGAAGAGCGAAGTTGAGCTTGAAAAGCTATATTCACAACTACAGGTTTGTCTTTCCTGCCTCGCTCCTGGAGACCCCAATGTGACATGCTATGGCACGCAGAGCATAGAAGAGTCGATCCAAGAGGAGACGCTGAGAATAACAGACATGAAAGCTCAGGTGATGAGGAACGATATGACGATCAAGAACATGCTCGTCTCCGTTGTCCGGCCTTCGAGATGATTGCTCACAAGCCGCTGACCTTCCCCTGTATGTCAAATCAGTAAAAGTCTCATCATGGTTTTCGAGCGACCTACGCCCGGACCAACCGTGACGGTGTGACGCCGGACGCACGCGGCAACCCGGGTTGGCGGCCCGGTCCGGGCCGGCCCGCCGGTGTCGGACGGCGGGCGAGTCACTGAGGGTATGCAACTCACACGCTGGAAATTTCCTGAGGCGAAGCTGCTGTAGAACGATTACATGGCGCCAGCGTTTGCGCGCCTTCTACCCCATGGCGGGGGATGGGAGAAAGTGCAAGGGAGAGGTTAGGATGGCGATCCGAGACCATGGCAAAGATGTGCAGGGATGCAGGGAAACGATCTTGGTGTGTTGGGATGGTCTTCCAACTTTTGTTGCTGTCCATCATTGTGGAGACGGATTCGTTTCTGGTTCCCACGACAAGCACGACATGGGCCAGACGACGGGGAACATGCAGTAGTGTCAGGAATCCTCTACGCCATGGCATAGACCGTCGGGCTGGAAGTTCGCCTCTTGTAGCATCTGCTACTCGAGAACCTGAGCTTCCCTTTCTGCGACTGAACTTTGTAGGAAACCATAGAGCAGTCCTGCAAAGTGCTCGCTATGAGCTTGAGAGTTCTGAGAATGGTAAGAACAAGGTGGTGCTGGAGCCTGTGCTGCACATGGCGGATGATTCCTTCTACAAGAACATTCAAGAGAGGCTGCAGAAGTTCGACATGGTCCTTCTTGAACTCGTAGCCAGCAAGGAAGACTGTGATGAGGGGCAGGACGGCTTCCGAAGGCTCAACAAGAGGCCGTCGTCAAACACGTCTCAGAGGCAGCTGGCTAGCAACCTTGGCCTTGTGCATCAGCTAGAGGTGTTGTTCTTCTGCTAGACCTTGCTAGTGCGATAGACCCTCACTGGCTGGTGAAGGTGCTTGACATGCGCACTTCGGACAAATGGATCATCGCTGATCTTGACCAGGAGACCATGTCGATCCTGCACAAAGCAACGTTCAAGGTGACATCCTGCTGCTAGCTGAAACCACCCTGTTCTTACTGGAGGGCAGGAATTGGAGAGCAGGTTTCTTCAAGGGATACAGGGCACAATCTTCGTTCAGGCGGCTAAGAATGCGGCCCGCGATGCTCTCAGCTCGTGGTATGTGAAGGGAGGAAAGGAAGAGTTCCAACCCGAATCAGAGACTCTGCGCGAATTCCTTGAGTTCTTCAGGCTCGCCGCCTTCTTGTAACTCGTTGACGTCACCATCTCCTCGTCACTGAAATGTCATCCTCTGCAGGCTGCCCTGCCCCGAGCTCGTCCGGCTGCTCGTCGACTGGACCTGGCTCAACTCGGGATCGCTCTCGCTGGGCACTCTGGCGCACGTGCTGGAACTTGCTCTGTCTGGCAAGTTCATCGAGTCCAGGAAGCTGTCCTTCGCCCAACGCATCGCAAACTCCCAGCAGAACCACGACACTGGGGTTTATGAAGTGATGATCAATTGCAGGAATCAAGCTGCTCTCGACTGTCTCGACCGCGTGCACAGCAGTGGGCACTCTAACGCCGCTCTTGTGTTTGGTCCGTTGCACATGCCAGACATGCTGAATGGTCTGATGGCGAAAAACTTCTCTCTGCTCACAGAAGCTGTGTGGCACGATGCCTGGACTGTCGAGTTGCCAGCAAACAAGATCAGAACGGCCTTGTTCTTGATGGTTTTTTCACTCTCTGGGTTTTTAGACTTCCACGATGTTTGGACATCTTGCCTCTCAAGATTTGATTGCTATCTCTATGGCTCCAACGAAGTTGTCTTATCCGCCTGGCCAGGCACCGATCTGCTGATCCCGACCAGAGAGTATTTGCAGTGCCCACAGGGAAACTTGAGTTTGCTCGCCTTTCGTGATTTCGCGCTGTACTTACTACGACACGTGATCCTGTACTGGATGCTTTCAAGTTCTTTGATGGCTTGAAAATCCACGACATCGACCTTCTGCAGTGACAACGGTGCTTTCAGACAGGCCGCGACTTTCGTGTCTCGGTGAATTTTCATTACAACTCTTTTTATTAAAGGAAGCCTGAAGCGTCTGCAATGATCCTGCATCCCTCTGGCCTGCGAGACAGTGATACCTGCAGCGGACTGCTATATTTACTTGACCGAAACTAACGAATATCCGACATCTGGTAGGATGGAGGTATGCCACTGATGAAACTGTAGGGTGGAATGAGGTGACTTGAGAGAGTTTAGAGCTTCTCGAACACGAAGAATCCCCAGACCTGTTCGGCATGTCAGCGGGAAGGTTGAGCCTGGCAAGAGAACGACTCACAATGCTTCCAGCGTGCGACGCCGCCACCCATGCCCGCAACCCCTTCATCATCGAAACGATGTACTCGTCCGACACCTGGGCAACCTTAAGGATCGAGAGACAGGCGGATGAAGAAGCGCCTCACCTTGCCTCGGAGCTTCTCTCTCGTTGGTCCCTCGAGCATCTTCAAGATTTTGCCGTAGTGGACGGCAATCTGGGGCGAGAAGTCTTCGTACCTCTTCAATTGGAAGCCTGCATCGCTATCAGGATCCGAGAGCTACTTGACGCTAGCAGCTTGCCTGCCTGGGAAGCCCACTCAATGTACTTGGCTGGACTTCCCATGTCTTCAAGTCCGATGCGATCGTAGACATCCTTCAGCGTAGAGGTGTCAACGCAGTCCTTCTGCATGATGTCGCTGAAGACGAACAGGCCTCCCTTGCGAAGAACCCTGGCAGCCTCCGCCACCACGGCTGGTCTTGCCTTCCCGGCGTGAAGAATCGAGTCTTCAGAGACACAGCAATCAAAGACTCCTGCCTCCTGCTGTGTATCAAGAAAGCTCAGCTCTCCAGGCACAATGATCTTGTCCTGCATCTTCAACTCGACGTTCCGCTGAATGTTGACTTCGTTCTCACGCTTTGAAAGCTCAACGCAGACAACCTTGCAGCCATACTTCTTGGAAAGAGCTCTCGCACATCCTCCGTACGCTGCCCCCATGTCCATGGCAAGTCCTTCACTTCTGCCCTCAAAAGCAGGCTTGCTCAACTCCAAGATCTTCTCAAGCGATCTGTTGGACGCAAGAAGAATGGTGTCGGACTCTGTGCTCTCGCCCTTGACTCCTCCTGCAGGAGGCTGCATGTCCTGCGCTTCTTCCTCTGCAGTGTATATGCCGACATGGCAGTGATCGCCTCCCCAGATCGTCAGGTAGAAGTTGAACGCATCGCCTTCGTCGTAGTAGTAGCCCATGGTAGCACGCACCACCCCCTTTCCCCCGAACCCCCAACTTATCTCGTTTAATATTATCTCCAGTGGGGGTAGGGGTGGGTACCAGTGCAGGGGATTCCAGAGTGAGGGGTGGTCATGCCTGGAACTCATCCTGTAGGGTAGGTGCTAAATTGGAAGATACAATTGGAAAATATTTTTTTTTGTTTTTCTTACATTTTGAAAAATAAAGATGTAGTTTCAAAACAATTGTTACGATCTTGGCCTTTGCAAGGGTGGGTCCTGGAATGAAGGATCAGGAAGTGGTTCATGGTATCACCCCCACCCAGACAATATCATGCAATCAAGCTCATGATGTGGTAGGGGGGTCATACCCCAACCCCCTTTCCTGAAACACGTTTGACCACCGAATGGGGTGGGTACAGTATGAAGTAAATTTCAGGGGTACTCTATCAAGAGGTGTCCACGTACCGGTTCAGTTCTATGGTCTTTATTAGGGATACCACCCCTGTTTGGACAAAAGTCCCCTGCGTGGTCAAAACGGCTTTACGCCCTACCCCTCAAAGGAGGATAGAGTTTCACTGGAAATAGGAGGGGTGATAGGGAAAATAGAGTACAGGGGTACCTGAAGAGGGATACATGTAGGGGTGGTCGAGCCGGTGTAAACGTTGAAAATGAAGGCGCTCTGGGATCCATAAGGGTGGTGAGGAAGCGAAGTAGAGAAGTGAGGGAGAAGGCAAGGAATGGAAGGAGACAAGAATGCAAGTAAGACAAAGAGGTATGCGGAATGCTGGAGAGGCAAATGAAGTTGGCGTGAAGGCAGCCCTTCGCCAAGGATAGGATGTTGTTGAAGTGATCAGGCTATCAAGAGAAAAGAGTGAAGAAGCAACTGATGTTGAGGATTGGGCCGAGGTGGAGCTTCATTGAAGCATTAATGGAGAGAGGGGAACAAAAACAAAGCATTGGACAACTTTAGAGCTCGATTTGCGATCGAATTTTGGCCGTTGAACTATACATGATTTTGTAGTAATGTAGGAATGTACATATTTGAGACTTTGTTGCATAGTGCACACAAAACATTCTAGATTCCATTCATTTCTTTTACAACACACTGGAAATTCATGAGAAATCTCCACCCTCGGATTTAGCAAGTCGCAAAAGAGGGTATTCGTTCAGAAGGGGTTTGAATCTCTGATTCTGTATTTGTGTATTAATTCTGCATTTGATGTATTTACAATTGAATGTTCTTATACCAACATACGGATGGATTACGAAGTGCGATACACTGGAAACTCCGTAACGAGTATATTGAAGTTCACTTGCTTCTGACGTGGGAGCTGTCATTTGATCCATTGCAACCTTTGTTGGGTGCCCATCACTCAATTTTGTGACGATCATCTTCGCAAGATACAGCACGAGGCGGCATATCCCCGCCATGAGCTTACTGCTTTCTCTGGATTGATACCTGTCGTCACCTTGTACTGCTGAGATGTCGGATCCCGAAATATCTTCACGACTTCAATGTCCTCCTGCCCAAGGATATGCTTTGGTCTTCAAACTGCATCGAAGCACCTTTGCCAAGTTTGATAGCGGCCAGCATCACGGTCAAGTGCACACCAAGGGACACTGCGCTTGTTCCGATGCGAGTCTACTTGTGGTATGGGACGCTGTGCTGTATCGTCATTGCTCTGTAGAGCTGCTCGAAGAGCACGACTCGGGCGACCTGATGGTTCATCACCATCTTCCCGAAGGAAATCATCTTCCCCTGCCTCCTTGCCGTCTGCTGCACCTCCTCCGAGTGCCCGTTCGCTCCCCCGATGGCGAACGTGACCCCTCGGTCGCCATCGTCCGCACATTTCTTGAGGTAGTCGGCGAACTCATGCGACGTCATGATGTCTCCTCGCTCGTCAAGCACTATCAGCTTCTCTCTGCCGACATCCACCCTGGAGAGCAGCTCCTTCCCCTCCTCTTCTCTCTGCTGGATAACAGTCCTCTTGGGTGGCCCGGGGGCCGGCTTGAGAGTGACCTGCAGTATCTCCTCGTCATCATCTCGGAGCCGCCGGGCCTCACTATCACCTCTTCTAGCTCGATCCCAAACTTCTTCACCCTGCTGCCGAAGTCCCGGCAGGCCTCCTCGGACCACTTCTCTTTGGTCTTGGAAAAGTTCACCACCCGAACCTTGAACGCACAGCGCAGGCCTGCAGGCGATGGTCAGCGGCCATGATGACATGCCGTCGCCCTCTTGACCCCTCCTCTCCCTCACCTAGCACGCCGAGGGCCGTGAACGAATCGCAGGATTGCAACGAAAGAGCAAACAAGAATAGCACGACCGAAAACCGCTGCATCTCTGAGGAAAGGAAGGGGAAAAGGGGAGGGTGGGGCAACTTACAGACAACGTGGAGCACCAGGGCAGGAGACAGAGGGGACAAGTAGGAGGAGGAATTTCGCGGGAGCAACAGGGAAGATCGTGGAAGAGTGGAAGGAGGAGGAGGGTGGTTCGAAGAAGCTGTCGATGAAGCAAGCCTCTGGGAGGCAGTGGGAAGGAGAGTTGCGGGAGATGGAAGAGAACTGGGTTGCGAAGGTGGGAGAACGAGCAGGGATGAGACTGTCAGGAGGGGACGGGGGGGGAGGGGGGGGGGGGGGGCTGAGGGAGGGAGGGAGTTCAGCAAAGAACGTGAAACGGGGGTGAGGGGAGGAGGGTACTACCCCACCTCTACATATACCTCTGAAAATCGCTGCAGGGGTGGGGGTCTTTGAAAGAGGGCGGCAAGATGGTGGTGCCTGGATCCACCGACGCTGCTGCGCAGGTGAGGGAGGGGAGGGAGGAGAGGAGGAGCAGAAGAGTTGAGACGGGAAGGATGGGGAAGAGAAGGGAGGGAGAGGATGAGAGCAGAGCAGAGCGAGAGAGAGAGCGAGAGAGAGAGCGAGAGCGAGAGAGAGGAGAGGAACGGGACAGGGAGGGTTGTGAGGCGCAGAGGGGAGGGGAGTAATGGTGAATCAAGATCCATGCTACATTTAGATCACTTCCCTGGAATGTGAATCGGTCAAGAATGTCATTGATTGCTTTCCTAGGGATGGTTCTCCCAGAAAGGGGCTCTTACAGAAAAGGGAGCTTACAAGAGAAAGGTAGCCTCTGCCATCTTTGACCTCAAAGTCCTTATCGGGTCCTCCTTTTTTTGTTCTACAGTATCCAGTTTTCAAGCCCAAATACTCAGCGGTAAGAGTATTACCTCGAGGATTGCATGCTTCTGAACGACGACAAAGAAAAAATTCGCAGCTATCAGAGATGTAATCGTCAAGAAAAAGCTGGAGCAGGCAAGCTGATTGTATGCATTGAAGACGGCTCTTGCTGACACGAAGTCAGATCGAAGAAGAGAACGAACGTGAAAGGAAGGAGAGGGAGGACGAGGCAAACAGAGCTGCTGATGAAGGGCGGCGTAAGGAGCAAGAAGAAGAGATCAAGGCTGCACGTCTAGCAGAACTGAAGGCTAAGTCCGAGGTGAGGGAAACGAGCAGGCGAGGAGGATGTTCATGACATGAATCTCAAGGCTCTCAAACATGAGAAGAGCAATCTTTTCGGGCTCCTGAAACAAGGCAACTGCTCCACTCACAAGATGAGCTCGTGCTGACCTTGCTCACAGCGCTGGTCAAAGATGAGAAGAGGAAAGAGGAAGAAGAAAAGGTGAATATCAACAGGATGAATCGGCTCTCTGACGTGCTTTCCTATTCCTTGCGATTAAAGATGGAGAAGCTGAGGAAGGAGTCAATGGAAAAGAAAGAGAAGGTTGGATTTCTTCAAACATCATTGTGACAATCCTAAAAGCAAAGTCCAGGAGGAACGGGCTCTAGCAGAAGCTGCGCAAGCTCTTTCCGGAGCTGCTCAATTTCTTGCCCATCATGGTCAAGGCAGCGCCATGGCTAGCGGAATGAGCATGGAACATGCTGCGGCACCAAACCCAAGGGCACACCCAATGGGAATGTGCATGCCGTACGCTGGTGCAGGGAAGGTCAGAGAGACCGTTGGCATATGGATCTGCTTGCTGATTGTAGGACTTCTGCAGATGCCGATGCCTGGCCCTCCTCCACCTGCTCCTCAGGTGAGTTCCTCCTGGTCTATCATGAAGTTCCTGATGGAGATCTGAACAGGTTCCGATGAGACCGCCGTTTGGGGCTCACCCTCCCCCTCCCAACATGCCTCCCCCTCCCTATGTTCCCCCAGGATCCATGCACCCGGTACGTCCTGCTTCATTTCATGTACATGTGCGATGGCTGACCCGGTTCTGTTAGGTCCCAGGTGGTTTCCAGGTGAAAATTCGACTGTGATTGGTGTCAACGACAGCCATCGCTGATGGCGATTACTGTGCAGGATGGAAGATTTGTTGGAATGCAGCCAACTCCTCCGCACATGGGTGGCATGCAGCAACCTGTGGGTCGTGGGGGTTGACGGGGAGGTGCTGACTCGCCCCGCAGATGTCCCGTCCTGTAATGCCGCCCCCTCCCAATGACAACCGAGATCCTCTTGTGAGTTTGTAACTTGTCCCTCGATCACATCTGACTGAGCTGCAGGGAAGGGGTCGAGGATACTTCCCACCTGGTGGCCGAGGCTTTCCACCACCCTATACCGATAGGCGCTGGTAGCGTTCAAAGAGAGCGCGAGATTAATTTATCAACCATTACGGAAAACTAAACGGATCCTTTCCTTGAGCAGAGGAGAAGGTTGGTGCTCAAGGGATCAGGCTAAGATCTACTGGCTTCGGATCCAAGGAGTACTTCCAGTGCCTCTCGACGCAAGAGATCTCAATGCAATCTTGCACGCAAGTCAGGCGAGGGACCGGGGAGCGATCAATGCCGAGCTTCATACCTTTGCAAAAAGAAGTTTTCCTCGACGAGTTCGGTGCTGTCAGATGCTCTTTGGTTGTCGTATTGCAGATGAGCAACGCTAAATGAAAGCAAATCCCGAACCCCGCAAGAGATATTCCGATCCAGGCTAGGACTACCATGTAAGGGAACAGGAGGAATGTCTGCCACTTCTTTTCAGGGTTGCTGTCAAAGAGCCTGTCTGCATGTCACGTTGTCGTTTCCTTGTCAAACTCCCTTCCTACCTCGCGATGCTCCAGCACCCACACGCACACCCCACGAGGCAGGCGAAGCTGCTCAACACAAGGAACGAGACAAAGAAAATGTGCGTGCCCTGCTCGAGCATCTTTGTGAGACGGCAGGTGCTGCAGCTGAAAACAAGTGCACCTGAGCAATGCAAGTCCCCGTGATGGGGCAATGGTGATCGAACCGATAGTAGCATCTGACCTCAAGTTAGGACAGCCAAGTTCACTTGAGTCGACAAGGATCTTTAAGGCAAGCTCGAGGGGGGGAGAGGACCGAGAGGAGGTTGAGGTTAAGGGGAGGAGGGTCTCTCGCTCACCTCTTGCATATCCGGCAATGGCTTGCTCGGGGAGGTCGCCAGAGCTTGCATGTATAGCACCACTTGTCCACCACCGTTGACCCGTCGGGCTGAACGCGCGTCCGGGTCTGTGAGGCACCCGATGAGTAGCCGTCCACCTCCCCCCACCTCCCTCTCACTATCGAGGAGTTTTCTCCGTCCTCGACAGGAGCTTCGTCCTCCATCTTCCAAGGAACCGCTCCGGGATCCACCTGCGTCAAGGCGAAAAGGCACAGTAACGCCAGGCTGCTGGTTATGGTCTACAGACAAGGTCAGGCGAGGAAGCAACGAGAGAGCGAGCAAAGACCTGTAGAATGATCGGCACGTTGCTCTGGAGGACCGTGTAGATGATATACTGCCCGACTGCTGACGCAACCACTATTGTGACAGCTAGGAAAATTGGACCGGCATATCGCTCCTGACCGGATATCCTCTCTAGGGTCGGCGGCGATCTCTTCCGAACCTGAGTCAGTGACGTGTTGTCACTCCTGGGAAGGACGTCGAGCTCGCGATGAGGAGCAGCTCCTTGCCCCGACGTCACGTGGAAGCCGGAGGGCATAGCTTGGCTTGCGGATATTACAAGGTCTTGGCTTCCATCCTCCTTCTCACCCTCCCCTCCCCCCTTGTCCTCGCCTTGGTCCTTCGCCTCTTGTGCTCGATGCTCTCCCTCTGCCATCAGCCCGCGCTGCCTGCCGACCTCTCTGCCATCCGCCCTGCCCTCCACTCTGCCGTGCTTGCCATGGACGGCGACCAGGTCGGCACCAAGAACTTGTGCACCGTGGGGTGGGCGGTATGAGGGTTGCAAAGACTGAGGGGGGATGTGGTCACTTCACGTGTGCAATGGCGAGGTGACCCACCAATGCTGCTCCTGCTCCTGCTCCTGCTCCTGCTCCTGCTCCTGCTCCTGCTCCTGCTCCTGCTCCTGCTCCTGTTCTTCCATGACTGCCACTTTTCCTTGCCAACTCTTCCACCTCCACTCTTTGTTTCTTTCCCTTGCAACCTCCCCTGCGTAGGCTTTCTTTCAAATCATTCTCCCAATCCTTCTGTGACTTTTCATCTACCTCCTCTCCTGATCCTTATATTCATCCTCATCATCATGTCCTCCTCCCATTCCCAATCCTTCTCACTATCATCCTCCTTGTTGTTCGTCAACAACCTGAGCTTGTTCATTCACAGCTCCTCGGAAGTGATGAAGAGCGGGGACACGGTGATACTGTATCACAAGGCCTCCACCCACATCGAGGAGTCGAAATTTGTCTTCCTCCGGTAGCGTCTCTGCTCCTCCCTGCTTGCGGTATCGCTGAACTGATGGTCGAACGGCCCAGGCCGGGAGAGAAGATCAAGATAGCGAGAGCGAACATAAGGCACGAAGATCTTATCGGTTTCCCGTACGGGACAGTCTTCGAGGTCAACAAGGGCGAGAGGTCTGCCGTCTGCGTCTTCGAGCAGAACAGCCACGAGCAGCTGCTGGAGGAGATTCTTGCCAGCGGCAACCCGGGCAGCAGCATCAACGAGGTCTCCAAGGACAGAGACAACCGTGTGCTCTTGGACAAGAACGCGCTGACCAATGGGAAGGAGAGCAGCCAGAAGCTCGGAGCAGATCAGATCAAGGAGCTCAAGAACAGCGGGATGAACGGGAGGGAAGTGATCAAAAGCCTCATCGAGAACAGCGACACGTTCAAGCACAAGACCGAGTTCAGCCAGGCCAAATGGCTCAAGAAGAAGGCAGCCAAGCACTCCCCGCAGTTCGTCACGATCAAGCCGACGAGCCTGACGCTCTGCCAAGCTTACTTCATGAAGTGCGCCGGAAAGATCAACTACATGCGAGAGGACACGCTCGGTCGTATCCTCACCATGAGCAACGTGCAGCCCGGGTCAAGAGCTCTCGTCGTGGATTCGGGATGTGGACTTGTGGTGAGTTGAGATGTTCTTTTCTCCTCCATTGCCTTGTCTCTTGTCTTGTTTCTCTTCTCTCTCCTCCTTTCTGCCTTCCTCTCTTGTTATGTTTCCTGCCTTCCTCTCTTGTTTTGTTTCCTGCCTTCCTCTCTTGTTATGTTTCCTGCCTTCGTTCATCCGTCCCTTGACTTCTCTGTTGCCCACATGTTAAGTCCCTCTTGTTCTACTCCTCCTTGCTCTCAGCCCTTTCCCTCCCTTCATCCCCTCCTCGCCTCTCCTCGCCGCTCACTCCCCTCGCTTCCTCTCTTTATCGTCCCCCCTCGTCTCTTCTTCAGCGATCTCACTCGCTCGCAGCTGGGGGCCGTGGCGGAGCGGATGGGAGGGTACGGGAGGATCTTCCATGGCTTCAACGGCCTCCAGCCCTCCGTGGACGCCGTCAGGTGGATGAATCTGGACAAGGACGCGATCGCTTCCATAGTTCAGTTTCCTCTCTCTGAGCTCAAGTTCTGCGCAAGGATGCAGCGCGGTCTGCTGGAGCTGGAGAAGAGGAGGAGCAGCAAGAAGGCCAGGGAGGAGGGGAGTGCAAGCGGGCAGACGGATCAGGATGCCTCTGCCGACCCGAGCGGATCTACCGCGCTCTTGCAGCACTGCATGGCAGCATCCAAGGATGGGAAGGAGGAGGAGGGGGAGATGGAGAAGAGGCAGAGGCGAGTGGATGGAGGCTACCGAGCCGGGATGAGCTTCAGGAACGACGAGGTGATCCAGCTTGCGAGCGGGATAGAGAGGAGCGGGAGTGACGCTGACTAGGAGGTCCCGCATACCAAGCTCAGTGTCGGTCAGATACAGGAGGAGCTCGAGCGAGGATTTGACAGCCTGGTGACCCAACCTTCCCTCTTCTGCTCCTGCTGCTCCTGCTGCTCCTGCTGCTCCTGCTCCTGCTCCCACCCCTCCCCCTTCCTTCCGTCAATCCATCCTTGGCCACCTGCATTGTCCCATTTCGTCCTTCCGTCCCCTGATCATTTCCACTCCCCCCCCCCCCCTTCCCCCCCATCCCCACCCCTTCCTCCCCGACTCCTCCCCCTTGCCCCTGA